TTACTTACTTACTTCTTCTTCTTCTTCTCTCTCTCTCTCTCTCTCTCTCTCTCTCTCTCTCTCTCTCTCTCTCTCTCTCTCTCTACCTATCTATCTATCTAAATATGAAAAATAAAATTGATGTCAATTAACAACTTGTCAGCAAAATCATACTCATTTTTTGTTTCTTTCAATAAGAAGAAATAACAGCAATTAATATTGAGTGTTTAACAAATAAATAATCAGACGATTTTTTATTTTTATAAATGCATCTGCAAATATCAAGTATTATACTTTTTAATATTTTCCTATGCTAAAAACTAATATTTTCGTAAAAATATGTAGAAAATAATATGGGACCATAATTAGTTGCTTTCTAATTTATATTATTCTTCACCATCGTTCATTAGAAAATTCCGGGAACGCAAATCTTCACTCATTTAAAAGCAGCTTAAGTGAAGGCACTTTACCGCCTGAAAATCGCTTAACATAAATGCGCGGTTCGTGGCTTCACCATTCTTTACATTATCATCGTTTTCGAAACTCCGGTAATTAACTTTAAAAATCTCTTTCTCATTTTTTTTTTCGCAAATTCATTGAATAAAACACTTCTCAAAATGATATCATTTTCTATATCAACTTTATTGCAACTAATCCATTTCGAAGTAATCCAACCGTTAATCTCTAGAAACACTCTGCTCAGTAACTTCAATTTTCCAACTCTATCTCGGAATACGTGGCTGTTGCAACCTTTGAGTTTTCATACAAAGGATTATACCTTCTTCTACTGAAAAGAACAGTTAGGAACAATGATTTTTTTCTAAAAAAGTCCAAACTTTTTTTATTCTATTGAGTTAAAGACTTTTCGATTTATGTTTTCATTGTTTTAAAAATATTAAAAATATTATAAATTATTTGGAAAATAATCTGCATACAGAAAATAATTGTTTAATCAATATGTGCACATTACTTACTTAAAAAATTATATAAACTAATATTTAAATTTAAAGTCTTACTACTAAATAGATTATTAAAAAAATTTAATAGAAGTTTACATTATAAACACCTGTGAAATAATTCTCGATTAGAAACGTTTGTCTTCTATTAAATTAGAAGACAAATATTTATAATTATCTATCTTATAAAGTAAATCATTAAATTGCAGAACAAATTGTGATATTATTCTCCAAAGTTTTATTTTTCTTATATTTAATTTTTAAATGTATTTAATAATATAAAAATCTTGCATTTAATCATGATACGTAGATACGCAAATTTATCTTTGTCACGTTAGTGGAATTCTCCAAGGATTGAAACTTTCCTCGCTAAATCAATCTCCATTATTCACTTGGAAAGAAATTGGCGATTACATATCGCCAAGTAATTGTTTTTAAACGTCGGTAGAATTTATATATTTTAATGAATATATTTAATATTAATTTATTCAATATAATGTCAAAAAAATTATTTGATATTTCTATGTTATTGATTTTTCATGTTTCTACTAATCTTCACATTTATTTTTTAAATTTTACATCATTAAATCTTATCTATTAATTTGTCATTTTTTAAATGTAATACATATAATAATTATATTATTTAATAAATTTATCCTCTTTTATTTTACGATTGAATCATGTAATTGTTAATAATATTTTAATATTATTTTTTCATAAGTTTATACAATACTTGGCATATAATTATATAGAGCACATTTATGTGGTCATATCTGAGTTCAACTGCATTACAACAATCGTATGTACTCCATGGCAGAACTGCATTGTCCTCTCGGGTGAATATACGAATGGCCTTTCTATTTTGATGATGGCTATTTTACCGTTAGGAACAATTAACATGAATGGCTCTCCTGGAGATCATTTTATCTTTTTCTAAAATATTTTTCTTTTCTATCTTCTACCAATCCAACTCGCACTAGAATTGATTTGTGAGAAGAATATATACGTACAAAAATATATAATTTTAAATATATTCTTTTTAATAGAGATACATATATTTTCAAAACTTTTAGTTTCACTTATTTTTTTCTTATAATGTAATATTGTCTTGAATGCTTAATAATTACAATAAATCAAGAATTTAATTGTTCAATTCATCATATATTGATATATAACATTTATTGAAATTAATTAAGTTGCAACAAATAGAATTTATTTGTAATAAATTTATTTTATAATATGAAATAATTCGAGACGCAATTGTGATTGTTATCAATTATGAATCCCTTATTTATTAATAATGATTTCTGGATGAAACAAGATAACAGGAATTTATGAAATAATATCTTGCATGATTTATTCTTACAAACAGAAATTCAAACGATAAGTTTTATATTTTTTTTTTAATGTTAAATTAGGTTAATCTGATTATTTTTGAATATCTGAGATGACAAATTATCGGATTTCTACAGTTATTTGTATAACTATAGTATTTTGATAGAATCTATGCATATTTGCTAATAAATTTGCCTATAATATTTTATGAGAACGTAGCATGTCGAATAAATCATCCGAAAAGCCGACCAAAAGCACGAAGCCTACCATTCAGCTATTGTATAAAATATATTTAAGTTTAAAGAGAGATGTTATCAGTTGATCATGTTGATTATTTTTGTCACTTAATATCGGATTGATCCTCTGTATATGCGATGATATGTTATTATTAATAATTATTTCATTTGAGCATACCTAAATTACATACTGGACAAACACATTTCGATTCTGTTTATTAAAACTCAATGATATTGAATATTTATATATTCTACTATTATGATTTTGAAATACGTGTCGCTCAGGTTGAATAATATAAATAAAATTATTGAGAAAATTTAGATTAAAACATCCAAAACTTTGTTTCTGTATATGGTATTCAGATTACATTAATGCAATTGTAAAATAATTGAGAACGAATAAAATTGTATAATGATAACTGATAATTTTAACAGAACTTGCAATGTATATTATTTGTTAATTAAAATAAATAAAATAAACAAATTTTATAATTAAGGAAAACATTTGTCAGTAAGTATTGAAATTTGCATATTTGTTTGTATTTAAATTACACAAATTGATATTTCTTTTTGTATTTTTCTTAGGAATTTTCTTTTTATCAGATAAGATAAGCTCGCTTATGTTTTAACTTATAGAAACATCTTTATTTTTTGTCTAATAAAATATAAAGGAAATAAAACAAAATAGAAGTTATATCGAAACTAATGATATTTATTTGCAGTCGATGTGACTAAATTAAAAAAATTAAAACAAACGCATGAATTGTATATATAATAAAACGTTCGATAAACTTGAACATATCTTGCATATAATATAATCTTGATGCATATTTATCATGCAAGTTGTGAACATTCCGGAAATTTGTGTATAAATATTGAATTGAAATTAGCATACTGCAATTTTACATTAATAATGTCCGTGACAATTAGTAGTGGCTCTGTAATATATTAGTGTGCGCTGCTACGAACAATCCATTTCACTAATGTTATTCTGCCTAATGGAAACAATTGTAATGATATCTATATTTAATTTGTAGCCCATTTTTGTAATTGTTTGTTCAGGCGTTTCTTTGAGTAAATTCAATATGTAACTTGCTTTAATATTTGTTTATTCCTTTTATGCACACGTGCACA